ACATTTGAAAACGTTTTCCCATAAAGTATAATTATATGTCCATGATTTTTTAATAGAGCTATGATGTTGCCATCTAACTACTATAATCACACGATAAACTAAAACAACCAATTTCTATAGTAACAATTTCCACGGATAACTTTTTAATTTTTTTGTTTTGACTTTCAGATTCTGAGCGAAATGACAGATTGATTTTACTATGTGTGTTTTAATTTTCTCTGTCTGTAAACAAATTATCTCCTATAAATCTTGCTCTAGTTAAAACAGGTGAACTGTTTTGTTGCATTTGGACTCTAGTTAGTACTTTAAAAAGTTAATTTTTTTTTATTAATATTCGAAATACAGATGGAAAACAGCTTAAAAAAAAGTTACTTCGCTCGTGGGTACAGTAACTTTTGTAACTGGGAAGTTGGGAAAGCATGATACAGTCGGGAATTTAATGTTTATCTTTAAGCAACGATTAACCATTTCTAACGAAAAAACGATTCTGAGCTGAGTTCAGTCGATATTTTTGCATTGTCAACAATATAATATAATTAATATATCATATTATCGTAAAATGATTACAATAATGTGCGTTTCCATAACAACAATGATTGCTTAAAAAAGTTTATTAAAATAGAAAAAAACTTAATAATAACAAAAATAAATAAAAACGGTTACCAATGATAATCTTGTTTTTAATCTATCAATCTCTTTTAACCTATAGAACCAGGTTTTCCTCATTATCTCGAATATTAATGAGAATTTTAAAAACTGACTTCTTTGAAGTACCATCCAGAGATTATTTCCTTTCAGGAAAGGTCCTATACTTGATAATCGGAGTATGCATTCTTGTAGAAAAAGTGTTCACAAAAAAAAAAAAAAAAAACATCTATGTAAAACCAATACATTCCTCGTTACACTCAGAATCTAAAATATTAAAATACAAATATAAGGTTGTCACTGGCAACCGTTTTTATTAATTTATTTTTGTTATTATTAAGTTTATATTATTTTAATCTTTTAATCTTTTCAAACAATCGGTGTGTCGTGAAAAGGCACATTGTTAAATTTGGGCTCCATTCAAAATCGTTTTTCGTTAGCAGTATTTTATCGTTACGCACAGGTATAGATTAAATTCCCCTTTATATCCTATCTTCGAAACTTGTCACCTACAACAGTGGCTTACGCGTGGTGCGAATTATTTCCGTCCGTTATTTATTTTTTAAATGTCAATTGTAACACCAATAGGTAATCGAAAATAATAAGATTCGCGTGTTAAAAATATCGATTACCCCGTGTCACAATCCCCACCTCCATACACCTTAAATGTGTCAGAAAATATCGTCCTGTATTGCTTTATTCCCGGTCTACATCTGCGCAAAATTTTAGCTCAATCCGACGGTGATTTGTACAAGTCGAACTGGTGCAATGCGTCCATCCGTTCAAATCGACTTTGGCGTTTATAATAATATTATGCAGGATTATCGTTATTTTCGAACATAAATGTATAATATTATGCCGATATTAATATTATGCGCTAACAAACATTATTGTTTCGGACACTTTAATAAGCATATATATATATATATAGATACGTATAATACGTATACATATTTTTTTAAATTATTCAAAATCAATAACGTCAACGGGAAAAAATACGAAAAAAGTATGCGCGTACAGATACGTACAGGTACGTACGGTTTCTAAAGTGTTTGGATATTACTTTCGAGTGTAATTTGCATAATACAAATCCCCCGAACTAAATGTACGCCGTCGTCGTCGTCCGCAGGTAACACGCACGATTGCGAACATATTCCCTGCGGCCTGCCTTTTTTTTATTTCAGAGATTATATTATACCAGCCCCGAGTATAATCTAAAGAACTTCGTTTTATTTTTTTAGAACAGTTTACGTAAAATATTACCTTCGCATCGGCGGCGGCGGCGGCGAATTTCATTATAATAAACGTTATTATTTTCTAAACCAAATCGGTACATACCTATAATATTGAACATCGGTCGGTTTTTCGGAATTTCAGCTCTTGCGCAAGACCGTACCTATAAAACATATTTCATTCGCGTTTTGTTTGCATGGTCATATATTTGGAAAACGTTATACCCGCCTGCCTAGGTACCAATCCGTTTGAAATTATATGAACTCGAAACTATACCCTGCACATTATACAACGCACACAACGTACAATGTAATATGTAATATAAAAGGTACTGGGCAATATTTACTCGATGAAAACTTTGATTATTTGGATTTTTATTTTCTGTTGTTTTTGGTATACGGAGCTTCAAACTAAAAGTTATTAAAACTCAACGTATCGTATGCAAGACTGGGACTTTTTTTATTGATTTTTTTTTTTTTTGTTTCGGCGGATTATAATCAATTGGATTGTATTTTGTTCGTCGTGAATATCTTTACTGATATTGTACCTAGATATGGTACCTCTATTCTATTCCACGTGGGTAAAATATGTGTTTCGTTTATCAGATACGTTTGCAAGTATTCTCTGTACTTCTATACCTCGCAGTGGACTTCGCAAACGGCGTTCTTGGAAAGGATCTAACAAGTCCGGGAGTGGAATACTGGAAAGACAGGGTTAGACACAGGGATAAATGGCGTGATATTTGTGTAGCTGAAACTCTTAGAGACAGGGCTGGATTTAGGATTACGGGGATCCGGAGTTAAGTATTTTCCAGTAAGCAAACAAAAAATGCCATTCAAAAGATTCGTATAGTATTTTTAGATCGGTATAAAAGACCGTTAAGCAATCAACAAAAATAAACATTGTATGGTCCGGGATTACAGTTCCCCTAAGCCTCTCTCCTTGGTATAGCCCTGCTTAGAGAGTTATGAAGGCTGTACGAATAAGAAAAGTAAACATTAAACTGTGTAAATAAAATTATTTAAGTATATCGTTTCGCGTTGAGTTTGATATTTATATGGATAAAGAAATGTTAATTTTCCACACGATATTAATATATTGATTGGAAATCGGAATTTCTCACCGTGAAGAAATTAAATAATATAATAGCAGTACACGTCATTTGTCCGAGAACTTTAAATCGTGTTTCCAATTACGAATTACTTTTTCATTATTTGGATGCGCGGTTTCGATTGAGTGCGGTGTAAAAATACATCTATCTATTAGTTTTACAGTGACGTGCGCTTTAGATTTGTTTTTTATTGCTTATCGAGGGAAAAAACTTTTCGGAAGAGTAAAAATTCTCGAAAAGTTTCTCCTGACGTAGGTTTAGTTTTTTTTAGATAGATAATTGAACAAAAAAGGTACTTTAAAACTAATAGTTTTTCTTAGTGTACGTCAAAAGTACAAAACTAAATAACTATCAGAAAAGAGAACCTAGTAAATTTACGGTATCACTCTAATTATTTCGAAACAACTCAAACAATAATTTCCCCGAAATCTCGAGAAGTTTTTAACGATTTCAATTGGTTAACAGTATGTGTAGTATATATATATATATATATGTGTGTTTTAATTACTATATAAAAATTTAAAAAAAATGTCATAACAAATGTGTGTATTGGTTTTATAAAGCACTCATCGTCATAGTAAAACCAATACAGTCCTTGATTATGCGGGGAGGGGAATCCGAAAACGAAAAAAAAAAGTTGGGTTAAGGACACAGAGTTTTTAGTGGTTTTAGAAGAAATTAACATTTTTTCTATTGATACCTACGAATAATATGCCATACCAGTCATCACGATATTATTATTTTCACATGTGCACGCGGACCGTTTTCGAATAGATAGCCCGTGGCTTTAGTTCGGGAAATTTTGACAGCAACACCGCGTAACGAATATATCATTATAACGTTACATATATAAATAATAAATATACACGTATAATTTTCTTCGCTTTCAGTATGCACTCGGTCCATTAAGGACCGTATTGCTGCAGTCATTATTATATACATTTATCTATAGGTCTCTCACCGTTTCCTCTTCCATAGCCACCTCTCATAGGTATACATACACCCACCTATTATGCCGCTTCAAAAGAAGCATTCCGGCGCGAGTATAGCTGTAATCTTGGTAACTACATCAGTCCCGCAACGAGGCCTCTATAGAGACCGTTTCCCCAGAGACGCCACGTCCATATAATGTAATGTAGAAGCGTACGCCGTACCAGAATATAATCATAGATCTTTGAAAAAAAAAAAACTAAACTGATAATAAAAAGAGAGATATAGCGTGAGTTCCAACATTGACGTATCATTGAAGACAAAATCCAATGAAATGGTTACTATCAGTCGATATAGTAAACTGTTGCCGGTGGACGAGCCATGGAAATATTTCAATTACAGACGGAGCTCCACCCTTCGGATTACACGATTTACGGAGGAATAAATTTTCGAGTTATTGTTCAATATCTCATATCTCTCTTACATTTAATGATTTTTTCAAACATTTTCTATAAAAGCTACACAAAAATTGTATGTATTGTATGTTTTTGATGTCCATAGTGGCGAGTAATTTTGATACGTACACGTCAATCCGTTGACGGAAACGTAGTTGAAACTGTTCAACGTCAAAATGTACTTAAACTAACAACCACTCCAATTGTTTATGCGATTTAAGTATGGGTTTTTATTTTAAAATCAAAAGTACCTACTAAAAAACAGGTTGCGCGCAGGTTTCTCAAGATAAAAGCGAAATTTCTCGAGTATTGCGAATCGATTTGCACATATCGGCCGGTAGGTTATGAGTATTGTGGTATTTACAATATTTTTCACTCGTCGATTGAACATGAAAAGACGTTCCCGTCGGTAAAAACGCAAACGAAAGTTACAAACCGTTAATAATTCACCTCGCAGCGGCCCGCACGTTACGTAAAGTACAATAATGATGCGGTCGTCCCACCGGTATCGATCAAACGGCGCCCGGCGGCAACAATACCCGCCAGCAATAACTCGCGGCGAGCGCGAGACTTTCGACAGTCGCGTATTTCTACCCAAACTCGTCGCACAACATATTCGGTCCGATATGGAAGCGTTCAGGAGAGCCGCGAAAAGGGTCGCGGACCGGACGGACGATCAGCAGTTGGACTGCGCGCTGATGGCGTCCGTCCAAAAGCAGCTGACCGAAGTAGCGGACGCCGTGGCTGCCGTCCGTCCGCTGGCCGAGCTCCCGGACCCGGAGAGACGGGAATGCGCCAAGACGTCGGCGGTGAAACGGTACGCGGCCAGGTCCGTCGTTTACGGTAATATTACACACAACACGCCAATCCGAAATTATCGTTGAACGCCATTAGCGTAGTAGTGTGACATCGTGTAAATGGGATAGTAACGATAACGATCATTGGATACAAAATATATGAAAATTTACGTATAGATTCGATTTAAAGACAACGAGATAACGAGTAATTTTTTAAACGCTTGTATTCCACATTTTAAGTGCTTTTAGATCCCATTGACAAAAATGTCATTAGTGTAACTACTCTATTTAAACAATAGTTAAATATTGTGGTTTGTAAATATTACTCATATTTGAATACAATAGGTATGAACGTTAAACATAAAATTATAACATGTGTTTTTAGTTCGAGGATTAGCTATTAAATCTTAACGAAGTAAATTTTCTGGAGCAGGTCGTTAGTCTGCTGCGAATCTTCTTGGAGGGAGAACTTAACAACTATTTCAAGTTACTGAGTGGCTATTGAAACGTATTTAGAGACGTATATTACTGAATGCTGTTAACTATAATTCGTGGTATTGTCTTACCCGTAAACAATAAAGATTCCCATGCGAGAATGCATTTTTTTATTATGAAAGCTAATATTTCAGTGGGGCAGAACATGCTCGGAAAAATCAAAACGAAATAATAAAAACGGTGATTTAACAACGTCCGTGCGGTGAAATACCACTTGAAGGGCTAAATGCAAGATTGAAATTCTTAATTAAAAACGTTACGAAAACATTAGGTAAAGGCTTAAATTATTGGAAAGAAAAAGCAACAGAAGGATGAAGGATCGGGTATGAAATTAGAACCATTACAACCATGCAAATAATAATAAGAAAGTATTTGTTTTTAACGTGACTATAAATGTTTGGATCAAAACGATCCAATAATTAATGATAACAGACTGATAAAAAGAATTATATCATTACAAGTATTGAAACAATAATATTAGGTAGTTTAACACAATAATTGTATAGTTTTTCGACCAGAAATCATGTTCCGATGATATCGGATGTGTGATTTCTGGTGTACATTTTGACTATTCGGTGCGACGGCGAGAGCGTTTTTAGGTTTTCATTGCACTCTTCTCAATGAGGTAAAACCGGAGGAAAAAATATCAGAAAACACGAGTATTTCGCCTTTCACAACGACATAGGTCGTGTATTCAAATTTGTATCATTTTTCACCATCGTCCATGACCTTCTCTACTCATTCAAAGAGATTAAAATGTGAGATACGACTTCGGTCGTTGTGGCAGGTGATATTCTTGTTGGTCTTAAATCTTTCATTTGGTCAGCCGCAGCTTTACATGTTTCTCTGTCATTACTTAGCTTTTTCAACTTCCGTTAACTTTTCACTTTCATATCCTACAGGTATGGTGTGTATTTCATTGTTGGTTTTCTTCTGCTAGTTTTACCATCTACATAGCCTTGAATGATCATCACTAGTACGTGATCTATCATATAACAATATGTACTTTTGTACTTCTATTTTTAAATAAATTCCAAAGTTGCTTTTTTTCCTTAATTGTATTATATTCAACACTTCTTCATTTTTAACTCTATAATACCATGAAATATTGAGTATCCATTGGTAACACCACATTTCAAAAGCTTCTATATTTTTATTCTCGATTCGTTTACAGTTCATGTTACACGTCATTATAAGGTCTAGTTTAATATGCGTGTTTTTAAAAGAGTATTTCCTAGTATTAAACCCCACACTGTTATGGCCAGTAAATGATTTTTATTTCGAAAAGCTCTTTTTCCTTGTACAATCCTACTGATTATATCCAACTTGCTTCTACTATACTCTGTTATTTTACTGCCAAGATAACTAAAAAGCTTTTCACAATTTGCGGCCGGTAATATTATTAGAGATAAAAAGTTGAATGAAGTGAGATACGACCGTTTTCGTTGCGACCGGCGATTTATGTTCATTTATATTTTGTTTCCGTGTTGTGATTCAGTGAAAACAATCGTAAAATCCTTAAATGTCTGCCTAATATCTACTTCATTAATTAGCACAACTTAGAATTAATGCAATGTTTTGAAAATATTCTGCCATTTTTAAAGTCAAGTATTTATATATTTAAAGCTAGTTGAAATGTTGGAGTTTTTGTTTGATTTTCGATAAATATTTTGTGACTACGTATAAATTCTCGAATTTGAGTTATTAATAACTGTTTGTTATTTTCGAGTTTTGTTCGTTTTTTTTTTTTATTCATGGATAATCATTTTTATCAACATTTTATTTTAAAATTTTTACTTTGTGGATACAAACGCGAAATGTTATAATATACTTTTTAGATACAAATTAATAGAGTTTTATCCGAAAAAATGAATACCTCTCATTTTCCTTTCTTCATTCACCTTATTTCTAGGGCTAGGGATATGCATTATGAAAACGCCGATTATCACATCACTAGATCGGCCCGTATACTTGTTTACTTATTTTTATCAGGACGATTCGATAAATTTCAAATATATTTCGTGTGCATCAAAACGGCTGGAATTCGGCTATGAACATTTTAAAACCCACCGGAAACAAGAACAAAATATATTACTGGACATAAAATAAATAATAGGTACTTATTAATATTATTTTTAATACGCCGTTTTAGTGCGTGAATCGTTGACCCATTCGGCGTTTGAGTCAGCGAAGTTTTACGGACAATCGGGCGCGCACGCAAAACATTTTTATTTTGCCGCGATGACTTTAATTTGTACGGTGAAACTAACGATAATATTTTTTAAAAAAAATTGTAAAATCTCGAACAAAGTGATGTTGTACGCGATTAAAAAATAATTATAATTATAATTATAATAAAAGCATAACGTATTGAACATGCAATTTATACATTTTTTTTTTTTAACATATTTTATTATTGTTTTGTTGTGTTTTAAACGTCCTAAAATACATTTTAGACCTTTATTTTTTTTTTTGCAAGGACAATAATTTCGATAATTATGATAACACATGGTAGCATATCTAATGATTAAGAGACGTCGTGAATTACATTTTAAAATATTTATAATACATTTATAGAGTTTAAAGGTTCGCGTAAAGGCAGTTTAACGAATTAAAAAAAAATAAAATTGATTAATGATTTGATTAATCAAATTTGTATTCAATGTCAATGTAGAGTTATAAACGGCCCGGAGTTTTTATTACGTACAATTATTTATTGCGCAATCATGCCATTTGTCCACAAACAAATGGGGAAATTATCATCAACCGATAACTTTTGATCAACATTTCTTACAAATATAAATAATTCTTTTTAATCACTGAACTGAGTGTAAAAGTAGTAAGAGCGCACCAGATTTGTTATACGTTTAGATTTATAACAGATTGCGCGAATGATGTAACTTAATAATTGTATTGATTTATTAAATCGTATTACTATAAATAAAATCCGGTTTAGCGTTGTTTGATCGTTGAAAAGAACGCGAATAAGTTGGGTTGGACATGCGTGTAAATCGAAACTACTGGACAAATACTTGGACAAATAACAGCGTAGAAACTAAACATAAAGAGACCTATAGGACGATCCAGACAGGGTCGGGCATACGGAATAAAGGAAGATCTGAGGATATTGTGATTAAGAAATGCAGAAGAAATTGCAAAATACAGGGGAATATATGTTGCGCGTTATGTTGTTACGGTAATGGACCCGAATGGCCTGTAAAAAGCCGAAGAAGATACTATGAATAAAATATTTTATTAATTTGCATAGTAAATCTCAGATGTCTCTTGTTTTACATTTACTATTCATCATGTGTGTCGCCATTTTGCGATTTGTTTGTTTTTTTTTTTTACCATGTAAATACTGAGCGTGCACTGCTAGTGCTATTGGATCACGTTGTAGTCGCACTCGGAGAGTAATTTGCCGTGCAATCAAAAAATGGTGCGTCCCATAAAACGCTGATAAGATCAGTAGTTGTTCGCTGTCTCGTTATACCATAGACTCTCTCTCTCTCTATTATGTTCACGTATAGGTAGGCAGGTTGGCCGAACGTCGAACCGATATCATATTTGAATAAAGCAAACCTTTGAAAAATGTAATTGTTTCGTATCGTCCAAACAGGCAAAAACATAAACTGCACTGACCGAACATCGAAATTAATTGAAATTTCTTATAGTTTGTAAATATATTTAATTTAAATAATTCCGAATCGTTTCGTATTAACGTACGATTTCAACATTTCTTTTAGCATTTACCAATAATCTTATTTGAAAATAACTAATCGTTTATAGGGAAAATAATTTAATTTATTTAATTTTATAATTTCCTATAGTGAACGTGTAATATTTCTTAAAATACGATTCGGAATTTGTAGTAGTGTGTTGTCATTGTCATTGTCAATAAATAATAATACGATTATTATTATAACGGACAAATACGTCGTACGAAAAATAATAATTACTTTTTGATGTTGATAAAACGTAACAAGTCAATTCCTTGCGTCATGGTACAAACGTCAAAAGTCGTTCGACGGATACTGTCCGACAATCACAGTTATATTTTGTTTTCAATTCGTTTTGACACATCGTCGAATCACCAAATTTAACTATAACGAGCATACACACCCTCGGTGGGTATAATATAGGAAAACTACTGCAAACTAAAAACGATTCTGAGCGAAAATCGGTTATATATATATATATATATATATATATAATGATAGAACCGTAAATAAAATCGAAAAACCATTTCTTCCAATGGCACATGCCGCAATTAGATATGATCTATTATCAGAAATTTTACTCCGACCATTTCGGAAAAATTCCTGATAGAAAAGTTATTAATAGACCAACAAAATGCATCAAACATGAAACCACGAAAACCATGAATAATTAATAAATATGTATGCTCACAGTATACGTCAGTCTGTAACGATTTTGTTCCTTTACGCCCCAATGAATATCCAAGCATTTAGGTGCCGTGTAGATTTGGTTAGGTACCATAATATCATTTGCAAAACTGTTTCTTCTAGTCGGAATGTTTTCGTTATTGTAACAATGTATCGCGCGTATCAATTATAATGTTCCTAATGTCCGGATTTTAAATTCTAGAATTTTCTATTCCGGGTTTTTATATGCCTTGCGGGTATTTTTATCGTATTTATACTGAAAAGAACGAGCTTCTCCGCTACGCTCGACAACTGAAATTTAATAAAAAACAATATGTCGTCATATTATAGAAACTCGGCGCATGCGATCGTTTTTTATATTCTAATAATATTATTTTTGACGTGGTATCCGACCGCTGCAATAACCTGAACGACGAGTTTTGGGGCCCGCGGCGAAAGTGGTGCACGTCGAACTGCAGCAAGTGCAATTTCTAAAATATATCGATACCGTTGTTTTTTTGTATATTATGCGGAGAGATTTCCGTAAAAACCCGATCACCCTGTACACATTTTGTACAGTGTACAATATTAAATTGCGTCGTCTAGTACGACTATAATAATGACAATAATGCATAATAACCGTCTGTGGTGCACACCGGTCGTAAAATTCGTCCCAGTTGTCGAATAAAAAAATACCGAGTACCTACTCGGAAATGCATAACGTGTCTGCAGATTACGAAACGGAAAAAACCTACAATATTTTTAATCGTTCAAAAACGAATTCTCGCAGCATATATAACAATAATAAAAACAAAAAAAAAAACCAAATCACTGCGGACACTAAAGTCGAATTTTCCTCCAACTGACTTGTCGTCGTTGCAATATTTAATTGTTTTTTATTATTGTAGTTTATCCAACATAGTTATAGTCGATAGAGTTTTATTGCATTTTGTTTTGTACGGGGCAATCAAAATTCGGTATCACCCGCAGAATTATGCGATTTACCATAGAAATCGTCGGGTAGGTGTTTGAGAGTTGAACAACCCGAAAGACATGCCCTCGGCATTTACAACACAGGTATATAAAATTTAATTTTCTTGACTTCATTTAGAGCCCGTAAGTTTGGCGAGTGAGTTTGCTATTTGAATCGGTTGTAAACAATATTATGTTAACTGCGCGTCTGCAGCGTCAAGAAATATGTTCAAAGTATTTTAGTTTTTTTTTGCAAACAATTAAAAAAAAAATAACTTAATTTGTTAACTGAAATAACATCAACGAGTTTAAATTTTAAGTTTTTGGTAACTTTTAACTGAAGGCGTTTTAGTTAAAAAGGCGTTTTAATTTTGCGTTTTAGTTTTATACAATACTTCATTAGTTTAGCTTGACTCAATAAAGTTAATAATTATTTCCAGTAACTCACCCCCTATACAGATACGACTGCTGCAGAGTCGGTATAATTTATTCCCGACAACTTCAGTCTCGCCAAACACGTCCTATATTGTTTTCATCAGACAAAACATAAAATCGTTATCGATTTTCACCGAATTATATCGGTAGTTTCTTATGATTATTATTTATTTTTCTTTTTTACCGTATATGCCGTACTTTTTGTTTTTATTGTTGAAATTCATTGCTTGTAACGTAAAGAACACAACTAAAATTTTTTTCTATTAAACTATTCGATATTTATCGAAATGATTTTCACATCAACAACCATCTGATTATTGAAAAAACTTTTCAATTAGCATTTATTTGATTAGTTTACATTCGAATAGTTTTGATTCGCTTATGGAAAAAATTATTGGAATATTTTTAATTCGTTATTTTTTCGAATTATTTGATAGTTTTAACGAATACAACTATTCGGTCATAGAAAAAAATAATTCGAACTGGACATCCGATTGTACATTTCAAACAGTGGTTTTCAACGCCTTTCGGGCGAGCCAGGATTACTGTATAAATGAGTTCGACACGTGTTTAAAGCTCTGCAGCCATGGCAAGGGCTATCTAATTTAATTAATTTATAGAAAATATAAACAACGGTCTTCCGAAATTGAGCATGTTAAAATGTTTTTTGAATAATATTATTCCTTTGTATCATCAAATTTCAATCCCTTATTAGATAATTTCACTGCTTAAGTTCCAGGTGTTTGTTATGATTAGTTTGGTTACAGTTTATATGCAATTATAATGGGTTATTAAAAACTATGCGTCTAGGTCTTTACTTACGCTTACGTCCCTTGTTTTGGGCATAATGTGAGGGGGAAATGACCGTGTTTTCACAAAAGCTGTGTGCACTCATGAAACAATATTAAGTATTTTTAAGGTTGTTTATTTTCTTCAGTAAAACTTTTTTCTATTGATTCTGAGCGAAGTGACAAATGTTGTTTATTTTTAATATTTTTTTAATCTGTGAACAAATTTTCTACCAGAAATTTTACTCCGATTTCCAATTGTAGTACTTTTCCAAAAGGAAATTTGACTGGAGTGGTACAATAAGAAGTTCATATTTTAATCTTCCCAGGAGTTTTTTTAATAAATGAGAATAAAAATGAGAAATATTAAATTTGCCTTCTATCTTCTCAACTTCTCACCTATAATAGTATCTCACCCATCGTGCGAATTATGTCTGTTTTTTTTTTTTACAATTTAACTCATATTAACCTTAACTATCTAATCTCAACTATAGGATTTTTGCATAGGGGGTGTTGAAAAATCGTTTACTTTTTAATAGGGTGGTAACTTTAAGAAAATTGAGCAACACTTATCTAAATTACTGAAAACTATCGATGGTATAATTTATTCAGACATGCCCATTACAAGGTCGACATACAGATCTAAACTTTCAATATTTTTATGTAATAACGACTACGTCGCAGGTGTACTAATTGAAATATTATGTGAAAAATACTCTACCGTAATATTCTACGTAACATAAGCTAATGAATTAGAATCGTAAACGTCGTTCGCTTGAAGGAATGGCGAGCAGAAAATTGTAGTACTAATGGTCGGCCAATAACGCGGGAAAAAAATTGAATAAAGTTTTCATTGCTCGGGCGAAAACGACGTGGCGACATCGGATGGAAATGGACTAAAGCGAATTACTTGGATAAGGGAAAACGGATTGTCCCCGCATAAAATAAATACCGCCGTAATGAACAGTAGGTAGGTACCTCGGTACCTGTCTAACTAACGGTTAGTACGTACAATATTTTATTTCGTTTCAGTATTTCGCCGTCGGACGTTCTTAAATTAAGTTTAAAAGCGAAAATAAAAACGAAACTTCTCGCACCGGAGTTTCGATTTATTTTTTTGGTCGTAGCTTTCACGTGATCTCACGGGACCAATCGCGGGAGCCGCCCAGGAAAATCGGCCGCCTTACCTCGGCCACCCGGGATCCCGCGATTTTCCGTGAAAACCCTATAGCCGCCATCCCCACAGTGAGTTATTTATTGGCTTTGACGTTTTTACACGTGACCCGTTTGTGGATTGCATGGACGACGACGACGACGATGTCGGCGTACTTGTTTTTCTAACGTCCCGAAATTAGCTCTATACCCAATTCACGAAATGTAAACTGTCCGTACCGGGAAACACGCGGAAAACCTTTTGTCGTTCAACCCATCAATCCTCAGCCACAGTGATCAGATTAGAGGAGCGTCCCTTTAATTACACGTTTAACTGCGCGCTTCTAGGTTTATACGGGAAAAATCTAAAACAAATACTTCATTTATATATATCATACCTTAAAAAATGGGAAATTTTCATCTGATGATAGCTTAATTAAAATATGTCTTGAAATTTTAAGCAGTTAACCTCTTAGGTTCTTTTTTTTTATTTATTTTTTTAAGATTACTGAGTTACCCGATGAGCAAATACACGACTGTACTCAGAATGGTTTTTTGTAGTCATAAAATTATTATAACGTCATCTATAATATGATTTTTAACAGGAGTAGATTTGGGTACCTTGTAAATAATATAATCATAAATAAATCGTAAAAATTTCGTTTATTATACCTGATCCGACAGTTGGTAGTTTTAAACAAAGATTCACAAAAACCCACTCTTATACAGATTTCCCTTTTAGCTGGGATCCAAAAATTTGACTATGCGTGCAATCGTTTCTATAATTTGACGGGGACCATAATTTGAGTGTATATACGAAAAATAAAGATATTTTTTTGTCAGTTTCATGGCTATATTATTATAAGTTATTTTATTTTCAAGTACTTTAGTTTTATGTTTTTTTTTTTTTTTAAGATTACTCTAACTGGTTTAGTTACATTTTACACTGGTTTATCAATTGAACTGTTATATTTCCTTTCCTAAAAAAAAATATGTTTTGAAAGAAACAAAACTGGGGATTTATCATGTTTTTATATTTTCTCTCGAAAAATGAAACTTACAAGATTTTACAGAAACTCTAGGATATTTTCCACGGCGTCCGTTTATACAAATAATATACGTCTGAGGTAGCATAAATCCATTCCGGCCAACAATACCAATTTCACGTACACAATTACCACTAAATTATATTATATAGGTCTGGAGGTACCAGGTCTAGGTGGCTATTATTATTATAAAATAGACTCTCCAAAATAATTTATTCATTTCTTTCGTTGGCCGTTTCGACTGTGCCTCGAAAGTATAGTACCTACCTTCGAACCAGACCCCTTTTCACGGTCTTACACTTGTAATGAACCGCGTAACCCTTTTATCCCTAAATACACTCGGCGTATTGTACGGATTAGGGTATAATTAAGTACTTATTTATAAGTTGTAACCAGAAAAAGTTCGACGAACAATTATTTCGGCAACGGTTGTTGAAAATACGTCGTATTTTGTTGTGTGTGCTACGTTCTATTATAGGGATTTGATGTCCAAAATTTTTATTTTTCTCCCTTTGGAAATTAACTCAAAATTAATTACAGTAATTTAAATAGATGCGTCATTAAGTTATTTTTCTCGTAAATGTGTAAAATAATAACACAATTAAATTTAATAAATTTCAATCGACTCCTTACGTCGCATTTTTAAAACAAATTTCGGAATTTATTTATCGTGATAGCAGTGGTAGCTTGGCTGGATTGTAAACGTTGTTATCGATTATTATTGCCGAACGATAAAGATACGGCTGATGCACGTATACCGCATAGTCACTACAATGGTTGGTATACTAATATTGTCGCCAAATCAATTTTGATGTACGGCCTGATCAATCGTAGTCTTAACCACTCACTATTCCTGTTAGACTGTTATCATGCGAACAAAAAAAATTGAAAATTAATTTTTACCAATCGATACGATTTTGTTGTTTTAAAGTTAAATAATTTTAAAATATTTTAAATTTTTCGGGAATAATGTTCAAATAACACATTTTGTATTTTACTAAAATGTATAGGCAAATGCGAATATTTAAAAAACAAAAAAAAAAAAAGAGAGCCTATATTGGACGAGCGTTCGAAACGGCCATCTTCGAATAGGGAAACAGATATGGAGATATTCGTCTGTTGTTATATTTCCCGTACATATAATACAACGTTTTCGTTTATTCCGTTTGATTTTACCTACACTTGGCGCACCCAACGGACACGTTGATTAGGGGTGTTTAATTTTTCCATATATACAAATATATTAACTATACCACTGTGACATCGCTCGTGTAACGATTAAAAACCCTTTTTATTAACGATTTAAATTATTTAGGGTACCTAAATTATGTAATGCGAGTAGCTATAGGTACACAAAAAGTTAAATCCAATATCCGGATTAATATAATATCCTGCCGACAAAAAATGCCAAAGATTGTACACACGATATTCGTTTCGTTAAATTATGGGTTATAGTGTACATTTGGTGGTAGGGAAGGGATAAGTGAAATAATCCAAAATTGATTAATATTTCACTTAAACAAATACAAATATCGATTGAAATTAAATAGCCTTTTTAAAAAAAACTCTCGATTATGGTGAACTGTAATGATTTTCAAGCTTTTACGAATCGCAAACCCTCTATTTTTTTTTCATGTAAGACGACCCCTTCAAAAATTGCTTCATAGAGAGAGAAAACGAGAAAAATTCAAAATTAAAAAACTTTAAATTAAATTTAAATTTAAATTTACAACAAAATAATGTTATACCTGTACTGTACGTTACTCAGATTTACTATTGTAGTCGCGTAGATAAAATGTTAATAATAATACGGTGATACCGGTGAATGTAAACAAGAAAACCACAAGGAAAAACCGAACAGGTAAAAAAAAAAAAAAGCCCCTTTGTTGTTTTATTGTTGTTATACGACTCGGTTAAATTTAAATTTGTATTTCCTCCCAATAATATTACAGTAGCATAATATATACAAGTATGAATTTATCGTTTTAATTTTGTCGACGCGGAGAAAACTTTTGTAATTCGTTTCGATAAATCACAAAACCTCTTCGTTGCCCGGGAATTCGACGTAATAATAATATTTCGACAAACAGATTTTAACGGTAAATTTTCCCGTTTTCCCGGTGGTTTTTGACGATTTTCTCAAGTGCAAGGAAAATCGAGAAATTTACTCCCCGTATGACGAAATTAACCGCCAGTAAATACCGCTGAAGCTCATGATTGGAGCAATATTGTTCTTGTCGGAAATGTTCAAACAAAGTGACGAAAAAATGCACAACATAGTGAAACAGATAGTACCTACACTAATTATATTCATCGCTTCGAATATATAACAGATCTATTGTGTTTGACCGATATTGATGAGCTGGCAGTAGAATTTACGGGTTGTTTTTTTTCGTTTGAGTACTCTTAATACCAAAGATCGGATACAAATCGACGGGAAAGCTTTTAAGTATTAAAGCCCATCGTACTCTTCCGACTCGATCCCGAATTTTCTCCCGATGAAATCTACGAGTGCCCATCACAGTAGCCGCACAATTGGCACGAAACGCGGTTACCCGTTTCGTATTGTTTTATAGTGTGCGGGATTTTTAAACAATACAAAATTAGTTATATACGACTTATCGTAGAATACGAACGTTTTTATACAATTGAACACCATCCAGTGCAGTCGGTACTACTATAAAATACTCATCGATGTTATAAATCCGATTTACCGCAATAGTCGGCTGGAAAATTTCTCAAAAAATAAAAAAAAAAAAATAAAAAAAAAAAATCATTTTCACCGATATTAAACACATGCATCGAACATAGGTTTTAGATTATGAAAATACTGGGAATTTTGTATTGTGTCACGCGGTTTGTAATATCGCGTGCAGTCGAAATATTAATAACCATTAATAATTAAATAATTCGTTATTCTCTTCTCCTTCTTATTCGGCTCTGTTGCGGCTCCTTGACTATGACCATAACATACCGTTAAAATATGCTATACCTGCTTTTTATCCCTATTCTCTACAGTTTCCTTTTATTAAATGTCCTGTTCCACTGGCTTATAATTACCTTTAGCACAACTCTTCCGCCTAAAATGTCTCTGTAATTTTCTTTTTGCTATATTATCTTCTTTCTTACCTACAATTTTGTTTGCCATTTTCCGATTGGAGCAAGTTTTTATTCGAAGCCTTTTGTTCAAAGTTATTCACAGACGGAAAAAAAAAACATATCATAGTAGAACTAATAGATATCTCTTGCTCCGTACCGAATCTAAAACAATATAATAAAAATAAAACGGTCATATTTCACACGTGGCCGGGCACTGTTGTAGTTGAGATGTTGGGAAGATATTAGGGGACAAATTTAATGAATACCTGTAATCAATAATTAACCATTCCTAACGAAAAAACGATTCTGAGTGGAGTTCAGTTAATAGTATTGCTTTGACAACAACATAATATATATTACATTATAGTATAATAATTATAATTATCTCCAGTCAGATTTCCTTTCGGAAAAAGTGCTATTATTGTAAATAGGAATAAGATTTTTGGTCGAAAATTTGCCCACAGAAAAAAAATAACCAAATATCTTTGTAGAACCATAAGCTTCTTCGGTCCACTCAGAATCTAAAATTATGAAACGATTATTTACGTGAACTTTACCATTATGTCTATGTTTTTTTTTCCCGGTTTTGCTCAATTCTTAAGAAAACTACGTGGGAAATCAAAAAATGACTTTCTTATTCCGCAACAATATCCAAAATTCAATAAATGTTGTCTTTTTTCTACTGGAGCAAGATTCTGTAGGGAAAAATTGTTTACAGACAGGGAGAAATACACACACACACACATATCATATTAAACCCAACACATCACACCATTACTCTCAGAATCTGGAAAAACCGGAGTATGAAACATTTGAAATGATGAAACAAGTCAAAAAAGATGCACTGCAACTAAAACGGCTTCCGCATGACATAGGTATCATGTATTAGTATGGGCTTAAAAATAAACATACAATAAAAATATTAGTATTCCCATAGATTTGAATGCGTACTCGAGTCACCCTTAAAGGATTTGTCGATTTTATTTTTCAGACGACAACCGCGACTCTAGCAGGGCGGACACTCACTTTGTACTGGAGGGCCGGTGCACGAGCGTCCAGCGACTCCACGTCCGCAAAACCAGCACGGCGTTCGGTCGAGAACATTTTACGTTGGTCCCGGATGGGCGTGCCAGAGACGAGGCAGGTCGCACGGTATATGTGAAGATGTCCGATCTAGGTCCGGGTTCGGTATTTGGCCTGGGTAAGTGTGGAATTACGTGACCGACACACTTTTTACCGAAATAATTAATTGAACTATAAATTCTCTTTGTAGTTCTCATCCCTGTGAGCGATATCAAAAAAAACAAAAAAACAACAGAATTTGATTATTATTATTATTATTTCAGGAGATTTTGTCACGGGTATATCTTTGTAGGACACTCCGTATAATGTCGGTGGATAAAACGAAATGTGTCCGTCATTTTTAATCTTAATGTAAACTTCTTTTTTTAACGCCATCGGGTTTTTTCCCACGTCTTTGTGTCATAGGCGAAAAGCGCCCCGGACGGCTAGTGGTGGCCACGACGGAAGTCAGGTGTTTGCTGGTGCCGTTGGCGTTCCTCGCCAAACACAACGCGTCAAACATTTGGGGCCGGACCGTGTGCGCCCTGGACGCATCTGAACCGACGGCCGAACAGTCGTTCCGCAAGTTCGTCGTGGACAACAGGTGGGAAGAGTATAAGAGGTCGCTGGCCGCCGAAATTTTGGGGAACCGCGACCGCCCGTCGCCGTCCCGGCCGCCGTGGAGACGATGATTCCGCGGTGCGTATTTACATTTCCTATACACGATTGTTATTATCACCTCGCATCCCGTATTCGAATTTCGCACTCTGATAATAGGTCGAACAAAAATCGATTCGTTGAGCAAATCGACGTTACCTGCGATTATCGCTTTGACATTTTCGTAACATTTAAAACTGATTATTTTTTTTTCACCGTTTTCTCGAGGCCTACAAGTATTCTTTTTTCAAAGGAGTTTTGCAACCGCCGCGAGATTTTACGGATTAAATAGATTATTTACAGGGCAGTGAATTTAATGCGTTAAAATCTGCTAAACGCGCTTTCAATTATGCACTAAAAACTGACGGTATAATATCATGTATTCATATTAAAATAATGTACTCGTTTTTAAACATTTCTGTTCGATCAAATGACATAAAACAATAAAAAAAAAAAAAAAAAAAATGCTTAGAAACAGTTCAAAAATGCCGTGTACTTTGTCGAAAAACGACCATTCTATGCACCAACTAGACAACATTCTTCTTGAAAGTTCGATACAAGATTTCCGGTAGAAAAACATAACTGAAAAAAATTAAATTTTCCTGCCGTATATCTGTCCGTTTTCTATAGAAATCTCAACTTTTCTTCCCTCCCCCCTGGTTTTTCCCAATTTTAATGAAAACCAAAAATAAAAAAATTATCGACTTTTCCAATGTACCGTCCATAATGCACCAAAACTTTTCAGTTGTCATATTTTTATGAGAGATTTCTGGGAAAAAAGTTCTTAGCAAAGAGAGAGAAAAATCGGTACATTTTATTGAAAAAACTATTGCATCCTTCACTCAGAATCTAAAAAAAGAAACAATACAAGCAACCGCGTTAAATGCACAGTCCTGATCATTATAACATCGAGTGTAATAAATTCGTCGTTTTACCTTGACCCGTAAATGTTATTATTATTTATTTTGTTTTGCAGAAGTGCAGAGATAATGTCATTATTACCTGCGTAACAGACGGATAAGTATTTTGATAGCGATCGACGTTTGTTTTTGTTTCTGAAATAACGGCAATATTTGTTTTATTTCGTGGATATCACGTTTTCTTTTCGTATCGGACGTTTCCATCACTGTGTCGATGTTAATAATAATGGTAGAAATTGACAGAAAAAAAAAAAAAAAATCAAAAGGCAAATAACGGATTGATACGGTGTCCCGAAAAGATATTTTCGTTCGGATGTGCGTTTTTATATTACTCGATTTTTATTGTTTCGACCGGTTTTTCTTTTTTTTTTTTTTTATCTCGAAACTTATTGTTTGGCACGTACTCGGTGCACACACTCAATAGTTTCTGTAATATAAATTGCAGTAGGATTGCTCCAAATTCGATAATGTTCTTATCGCATAGATTCAAAATATCAGGTGTACGATGTGTGGTATTTAGATTAAAAATTTGACGGTGGGTAATTCTCAGGTAAATTTTTAGTTAAGCGAGAATTGCATTGGTTTTACCATGATGCGTTCATTTTTTCGTGTACCTGTAAACGAATTTTCTATCGGAAATCTCGTTCCGATTAAAATCCTTATCAAAATTTTCTCATAGTGTTTTTGCATGTATAGAGATCATTTTTTGATTTTTTTGTATTCCCATTATAAATGAAAAATTGGCATTTATTTTTATGATTTTTATTGATTTCCGCTTTACCCGGAAACAAGTTAAGATATACGATTAATAGTACTTTGTTTTAAATCGTGTTCGATTAGCGCTGGTTTATCGTTCCATACAGATATAAGTTATCCTGTATTTTCCCTTCAAACTTATTACTAATTACTAATTACTAAATAAATAAACCTAAAAAAAAAAATCTTTTTTTAACCTCAAATGCATATAACATTATTTAACGATTTTATCGAGCTATTTTATTTTTATTTAAATTGAAGTTTTAAATAATTTCGTTTTAACTTTTTACAGGTCCGTTTTGGTTAAAATCGGACATCAAAAGAAAACCGTCGTGCGGTGCCTACAACATCAATTAATATCATCAATAATATAACCATATAATGTTATATCATTTTTTAAACATGTTTTATTGGGTAATCATTTATTAAGTGATTAATTTATTAATTTATTATTTAAATAATAATTTGATAGTACGATTTTCAACATTGTATAATTTAGCATTTTTTTTTTCGTAACTATGTTTAATATTGGGAGGTTAGAAAAGCGGTAAACAAACGAAGTATAACTATGGATTTATTCTTGAGCTCCGTCATTTCACAATTCAATTTACTTTGTATATAAACTGTTAGCTAATAAGTGATACATCTTAAGTTTCACGATTTTCTTAAAAAAAAAAATGCACGATAAAATACAACCACCAATACAGGCAGGTACACACACATCTACGCCCAACCTCGAACTAAGTTTTGGATTTGTCCATAGGTAGTATGCGAAAATAACCTAAAATTTTTAAGATAACTCGTTTGTTTTGAATAAATTACACATTATTTGAAAGCCTAGTTTTTAGGAGACCAAGTTATACACCGGATTGCTGGATTTTGGGTTAAACGCTCGTTGCAACGACAGCGCCTTGGAGACTTTATTTTACGGACAGCCCCCTGTAAAATGTTTCTATGTTTCTTTATTTTTAACGATTAGCCCTGTAAGTCATTTTTTTAATTTTTAATGATGTACTAAGCAAGTGGAAAACTCTGCTAAATATTTACTAATAAGCTCAAAATCGTTTTTTGTTTGTATATTGTATCACAATACTCGTTGTATAAGTATCTAGCGGTATCTATATGCGTAACTAGACAGCTTAAATCAATGCATCTATATTTGGTGCCGAGTATCTGAATACCTATTCATTTTGAAATATCTCGCCCATCTCTGGTTATCTCGCCGTTGTATTCGAGGACAGGAAATGAATATAATAGAGTATTCATATAAATACACACATATTAAAATACATAAATCACGCAATACACGTATATAATAATAATAATAATGATAATAATTATTGTATAAATATAACAATGGAAACACGCACACTTTAAAATAATATATAATATTTTTTTATAATGTAATATATAATGTCTTCGTTGAAAATAACACAAAAAACGTTTTAATTTTTTTTTTTCAAATTTATCTTTGAATTCATGTATAATTTTTTTTTTTATGTATATATATATATAATATAATATATAGTTAACTTAATGTACGATAAGTAAGAGTATGTGTCCACGTCCAAACGGAGATGAGCCCGAGAATTATCTGCTACGGTTTTATACATAATATAGGTGTTTGGTATTTTGTAAGGAACTTATGACTCGTAATGTTTTAGTTTTTATTATTATTATTATTTTTTTTTTTTTTACCGAAATGACTATAGAACTCGCTTTGATTATCGTATTTAGCAGAGGGGAGGGGTGCAGACTAAATCGCTTTGGTACGATGACCTTCCCCGACGACCTAATTTCCGTCCGTTCGTTTTTATGTTTATTTTTCATTATTGTTATTCGCCATTTTAAGTTTTACAAAAAAAATGCCGTTCGACGGTCTTAACATATTCGTTTTTATCCATTGCAAAAATATACCTCGCGTAGTAATACCACTGTCTGCAGGGAACATTCGTTCGGAGATTAGTTTTCGGGTGAAATTTAATCACTATATTATGCTGGAATTTCAGAAGATAAACCAGAGTTTTTTTCCATGGTCGGGCGACTTTAAAACAAATACGTTTTCAGAAAAAAATCTCGGTTTTTCGGAAAATTAAAAAAAAAAAAAATCGTTGTTACTAATCTTTTTTTCGATTTTTCGCGGAATTTTCATTTCAGGTGAAATTCCCGAAATTACCGAATAACCGGATACTATTATATCATTTTTAATTTTCGACCTGAACCTCGGAGGAGAAGCGTCTGTCCTTATAATAACAACGATATTATCCCGGTAACGAAACTGTCTACAGGTCGGCGCGGCAGGACGTCGTCATATTAAACTCTGAGCGTTTTTCATCCAACTACATCAGTGTACACTTCACGTGATCAATGATAGCGCACATTCCGCGAGTGCCGACCTACGGGTTATATAATCAATAGCAAGAAGTGGAACACGACCGTCGTATTGTCCGTCCGCGATCGTAATCGTTAGTTTGAGTTTTTTGAGTAATCTAACTTTAGTGTACGATTGTCGAACAGAAGTACTGTTCGCATATAAAATGCTTGTGAAATAACCTAACACTGTTACGCTGCCGTCAAAATCGACGGCGTAATGTAGTTCAAAGTTGGTTGGACGATATGTACGATATACACGATAATCGTTTTTTCACGCTAAACGTGTAGATAACATTACATTGCACAGTCATATGGAACTCGCGTTAACCGTACTGCACTGATGATGGCAGGTAATAGCAGGCGAAAAGTGTACACCAGTGTAGACTCACACACGAGTGCAGTCGGATGGAAAACGCTATTAATTTCCGTCGAAATGATATTATTACGTATGGGTGCTCCCATCTAAGCCAGTAATCGTTAGTTGTGGGCTATAGTAGAATTTGCAGGGGCGGGGAGGGGGGGGAGAAGTTACTACTCTCCTCCCCCTCGGGTTCGAATGAAACAAATTAGTTTTTGTAAAACGAGTATAATATACAAATAAAACATTGTTCGAGCCATGGATTTTTGTACAATAGAGTATAATAGAAAAAATCGCTGACTTTTTATGATTTTCCAGGGAAAAATAAACCGAATCAAATATATCAGATGTGGTATAATAAAGACATAGTTTTTTAATAATCGCATTCATTTTTAATATATTACATCTATAGGTACAAAATTGGAAAAATAAGGATTTTTTTAACATTGATTTTGTATGTCAAAGATATGTTACTTTTTTGCAGCAAATGTAAAGTGTCTTTAGCACTACACAATGGTCGTGGTCGTGTACTTGTATGTTTAAAGACATGCCTTTAATCGGAGATGCATTTTTCCTATTGAAATTTCGCTATTCTTAAATGTTTCGACATTTTTAATACTGCAGTCTCTTTCCTTTGCTGTAAATAGTGTATTTAACAACATTCAATGCCCCCTTGACACTTTTTACTGCAATAAACGTAACACAAACTTGCAGTTAAGTATCACCTTTATCTAGAACAACACCGGTTTCTTTCTGGAACAATTTATTTTTCAAAATCTTTTTTTTTAAGTGTGTAAAAACGGAAATGGAAATGTTTTAATTTTTGAAAGTCTGACGGGATTCTCGGTTAGTACAGTGTTCAAAAAAATCAACTCGATTAGTACGTCTTCCATTTTTTTTTTCTTTGTCCGACTCGCGGTTCGTACGCAGCCGTTATTTTAAAGTGCTTTTTCGAAGCTCATCCCCGCAAAATTGACGCGATACACATACATATAATATATAATTTTTTTTAACTATTAAATAATAAAACGGGCGATATTTTACATATATACGCACACACAAACACACATATAAATAAAAACACGGTTTGTTATTATTAATTTTTTTTTTACTCGGAAACACTGTGCCCGTGGGGCCAGAGTAGTTGCTATAGAGATATCGGATATTTTTTTATTTCATACGGCTTAGCGATATTTATAATAACATTGTAATTGGTTATTGTAATAATTTTTATTTCTTAAATATATAATATACCGGAATCAAAAGCGAGAATATAATTTTTAATTTTCCCTACTCCGTAAACGGAACTAATACACTCCGTGTCAAAAATATAAAATAAAACCTTATAGACAAAAAAATTGTTTCGGTATAGTTAACCAAATTTTATTTGGCGAACGACCAAAAGTCAAACAATAATCGAAAAAGGAACGATGCGATTTCCTTGGTTTTCTTTATCCAACGTATAATGTACGCAACGCAGTAATTTAAACAGTCTTTTTTCGTTTATCGGTTGGTCATTTCAAAAAAAAAGTTCCAATTCATACGATTCAATTGAAGTTGCCGTACCGATCTCGTGTACACTTAGCGATAAACTCAAATTTTTGAGTATCGCTTCATAGCGTGGATCATAGTTAGTCGACGGGCGAAACGTACGCAAATCGCTTTGCAGCGTACACGTGTTGGACAAAGAAACGTATTATCATATTATTGTTTCAACAATAACTAAAAAACATCCAGCGCGGTATACGCACGCTACGCACAAACTAATAACGGTTTACTTTATAATAATAATAATAATTTTTACACGCGATTTGATTGGGAAAAATTAGATTAATTTATCTTTTTTTTTTTTATGATTTTATTTTTTTTTATTTTTACAAACGTCGATTTTATAATATTATAGTTAAGATATTGTATTATCATTGTACGATTATTAAACTCGTCGATTAAAGATTAATAAAATATGTTTTAGACACTTAAGATTACGAAACAATCGGATAGCCCGCGGGCAGCCATAATAATATGATAGCGAAAGGCGAATTCGATTCAATAAATTAAAGCTGTTATATTGGGGGGGGGGGGGGGGGGGGGGGGTTACTTTAAAATCACTTTTGGTTTTTTTTTTTTGTGTGTTTTTAAACAATTTTTTCAAGTTTCCCTAATCGTCGCACATAAACCGCAGAACAAAAAATAATAATAATTATTATATTCCACGGATTAATACGATAATACGCAATTACAAATCGTAATTTGCCTTCTTACAGTATACTATTACGGCCGCCGACCTATTTACGATACTATAACATTTCACGTGGGTTGGCTATCTACCGATACACACACACACACACACACACACACACACACACACATATATAGTCGTTTTATGTATTATTATTATTATTATTATCTATCACTGTCTACGGAGGGAACACGCTGTTGTTTATTTAATTCATATAACCGTATAATGTACAATGCTCAAAACCCTGGTAAAACGTTAGGATAACACTTAATATTACAATATAGGAATGATATACATACATAATAATAATAATAATAAATTTGTGTGGACAATAACCAAAAACGAAAACGCATAAAACATTGCAGAAATCTAATTGAATTTTTTTTTTTTCGTTAATTCCCGTTAATATGCCGTCTTACGCGCGGTTATAGGCGATCGTATTTTTTTCCGTTTTTTTTTTTTTTTTTTTTTTTTTTTTTTTTTCTTCACCGGCCGATCGATATTTAGGTATATTCTTTAAACACGCGAGCGCGACTTTTTATGCATAATATAATATATAAATAATTCATTAAAAGCGACGTACCTATGTGTACTTACAAACGGTACTCTAAAAAACGATGTCAACATTTTGTATAATGTATTGTCAATATATATAAATGTATAATACTATATTTTTACCTATATTACCGTTCGAACGAAAAACTGGTATATTTTTTTATTTTTCTACTGTTGGCTGTTCAATTACATCGATTATACTATAATGATAGTATTATATTAATTACTATTCCTTTTTTTTATTTACGTTGTATACCTGCGATACGCTTAAAACATAAAAATAATCGTATTTCATTTATATTACAATAATTATTGTATACGGATTAAAATATTCGAATAATCAGGGTTGGGCAAATTAACGAATCATTTTACCGCGTTAATTCGGCGGCTAGGCAAAGTTAATTGCGAAAAAAAAAACCAACGCAGTATACACGCGACAAGTTATAACTGTTAGTTACGAACTGACCGAGCCGAGTTAAATTGTTGCATTGATTCGATTTGAATTTTTGTTTGTGAAATTGTTCCTGACACGGTGGAAACGATTGAACCTGCGTAGAGATTTTGAGTTTTGTTTTTGAAAATAATGACTATCGATATTAAACGCGAATGGATTCGGGCAGTACTCGTTTGGTGCATAGATATTCGGCCTTGCGCCGAGGAAAAAGTAAAATAAATTAAGCCTGTGAAAACCCCGTGTTCAAAGCCAAAAGTTGAAAGTTGACGTCGATGTTGAACCATACGAACTTTTTGATATCGTTAAAGCCCAGCCTTAGGCGAACACATCCACGCCCGAAAATATTGAAAAAATAAAAACAACCGCACGCGGCCGCCCGACCATTATTATAGCCTTTAAAAAATGATTCGCGACGATAACTGCGGTAAAAACACAAAACAATTATAATGTTATTATTACTGCAAAACTATGATACGGGCACGCGTCGTATGACTTCCGTAAAAGAAACCGTCCAATCGAACTCTATGGTTACGTGTCGCGAACGTGTAAATGTATTTAAAATTTTTGTTTTACCCTGTTCCGCCGGAAACGAGATATAAGTAGTTATTATTATTATTTTTTTTTTTTCAACACAAATATCTAAATGATAAAAAAAGAAAAAAATTCCCGTTTTACGTGGAATCGCATTGAGTGGCGTTTTGACGACACCGTTTGTTTGTTTGGAACGTAATGAACGAGTGTAATACCGATGTACATAATATTATTGTTATAACCTAAACCCTACGCACGATTTACTGAAACATGTATTCGTTACACACGTATGCACGCGTATTGAATAGTCGGGCACCTATTGAATATTTTAAGACTAACAAAACTTTCACCCGGCGTAAAAAAACACGTTATCTCTGATACGGATAGACGGTATTATAGCCGAGGCCGAATCGACCCGGGTCCGGTTTGTCCGAATTTTCGACAAGCCCGCGTACAACGATAACTCAGCGGGCCCGTTAAATTCGCGGGCCCGCGGGGAACCCAGACCCTCTTGGTGCCCGCGTAAACCTATCCCTATAACCTTATTTTGTACCTATTATTATACGTTATAACTACCATTACGTTTGAAAACTGTCGTAAAAACCCTTTAGGTCGCGATTGCGTTTGCGATTAACTATCGTAGGAAACAAATCGGCACTAAATGTTTGTACAGCGAAATAATAATAAACAATTAAATCTTTTACGGTTCGATAAGAAAAAAAAAAAAAAAAAAAAAAAAAAAAAAATAATCAAATAATAATAATAATAAAATCTTTTAAAAAATAAAATAATTTTTATACTAATAGTACTATATCGTCATGTCATTAAATAAATTAACCAACACGACATTACATAATGATAATAATAATAACAATGTACGTCGGAGATGACGTCATCATTATGGTTTTTTTTTTTTTTTTTTTTCTGCTAACGACTCGACCAAATTATAAAATTATTGTCCGCCGCAGTCCATCTCGTCGCCGTCTACTACATCGAGATCATGGCGCGTGTGATGTTCTCGTCGTTTTTACACGTTTCCATGAACTCCTCGAACGACACGACACCGTCTCGGTTTAAGTCCATTTTCTGAAACACGAAAACACACACCGGTTACAAAACAGTTATTATTATTATTATTATAAACAGGCCGAGAGAAAAATGAAAACTATACGGAATAATAATAATAGAAAAAAAAAAACCTAAGAAAAAAAGTGGATTATTTAATAGTTACTATCGATAAAACAACGGTGACAATGTGTAATGTGATCATGTGGAACGGAAACCCCGGGTCGAAGAAGACCGCGATTTCGAAGACGTGGAAAAAGACGACGGTGGTGGAAAGATGTTTTAAAATTTTGACAGTCTATTGCTACAAGATTGACGCGTAGTTCGAAAAGAGACAGGTCGTGAAGATAACAGTTAGGTGTTTAAGAAATTTCCAACGGGAGGGAATTTAACAAATAATAATCATGAACCGTAGAATATTCATTTCTATCCAATTCTGTCGACGGGAATCCAAAAGCCTGATCCGAAAAAAAGAAGTCAATTTTTAATCAATAATTCAAGCTTTTCCTCGTGACTTGGATGAAATACTTGTTGTGTGTAGGCGTTTCTAGCTAACACAACACATTTCGGCCGGATGACATTGGATTTGAATTCGGTTTTCGGACGGCGGGTCAAGGGGTCAAGGAGTACTGAAACACACGCTTAATTTAAGGATACATTTAAATTTTTTAATCGGTTCGATGCGTGTGCACAGCAAATTAGTTTTGTTTAAATACATATTTTACATATTATTAACACTAAATTCGAATAGTCTTATTTTTATTTTGAACCACTTTGATAACTAAAATATTTTTACTATCTCAAAAATTACACGGTATATAACAATGATTTTTTTTTTTTTTTTACTATCGAATTTTCAAACAATTAAAAACGTACTTTATTATTAAATGGTTTGAGATATTACGGAGGAGATATATAACTCCTGAACTCCTTTCACTTCTGCGCACTCAATTAATCGAGCGTATTATATCGCATACATCCCTCTGTCGGCTACATCTTTCCGTGAGAATTTCGAGTAAAGGCGGTAAATGTATAATTTTTATTTGTGACTTTTTTTTTTTTATTTAGCCACGGTTAATACCCATCGAGTACCATCAACTCCGTCTTAAATAATACGTTTTCGTCGGAGCAGCCCACTGGCGCCCGGAATCATAACCCGTTCGCGCCGCTAAAAATACTTTTTGTGAAACCGCGTAACGTTGCCGAACTGTGTGATATTTTATCACATTATTTTTAGGTTTTACATCATATCCTCAGCGATAGTATTATCGATATATTGCGGGTCAATTTTATCTCAACTGGACTTAATTGGACAACCAGACACAAATCGCAAACACAAGTTTCACGTTTATAAAAATCGGTTTTTAAAATAACAAGTGCCACTTAAAATCAACGTGCACATTACATGCTACGAACAGAACCAAATGACCAGGATCATTTAATCACGACGGCAACGTTGCATGCGAAATCGGCGCATAATATGTGCATTGGCTGCAGGTAGTACGTTATCTTTCGGGTGCATCCGTCCACGTCCTTCGGGGTGCGAACTGACGGTTCCGGGGCGCAAATACTACGTTTTGCTCTCGTACGATACAGCACGTGAAAAAGGTTCTTCCGGGCACGCGGAAGAAATAACCGGAAAAGCGATTAACACTCGAATCGTAAAGTAGCGCGGGTACACACATGGGATAGGGGCTATGCCTACGGTAACCAGATATAAAAATCCAGAAAAAAGTACCGTTTTAAAATTTAGGTCCTACATTTTTTATAAAAAAAAAACTTCCCTTATAAGAATTGACCAACGTGTATACTATTCTACCCGTTTTACCCATAGCTCATCATCATTTTTATACACATTTTTTTTTTTATCCGAGTACGCTATTATTATTTCGTCTATTATCAACTATGAAAACTAATCATTCGAAATCATAATACCGACTCGTTTGGTTTGCGTCTTTATAATGGAAATACGTTGAAATTTAAGTGATTTTATGCATACACGTATAACTTACGTATAAAATGTACACACATTGTATCAAACGAATAATCAAATTATACACAATCATAAACACGTATTGGCCCATAATATTTTCAAAAAGAGTACGATTTCGTGTCCCCGACGCTTTTGTTAACGACTCGGGACAACGCATTTGGGACAGTGCTGTCCTACGACGAATAATACGTCCGGTCACCGTAGCCAAAAACGGCTCGGCCCCAATCCCCGTCCGCTGCGTCACTGACGCTTACCTACGCGGCGGCGGCGGCGGCGTACAGTAATAACAATAATAATTATGCTGGAGGAACGGAACAGTTCACGCGCGTACAATAATAATATTATTATTAACATTGCGTACGTTCGGCGCAGGAGACGTTCATGCCGACGGCGCGCGTAAATTCGTTCTCGCCATCGCTCCCCGGGCGCGGGCGAACAATCCGCCCCGGCGTTTCACGGTCTCTTCCCGTTCCTTCTCGACCTGCCCACATATATATATATATATTATGAAACAATACCCACGTATAATATAACAGTAATAATAACAGTCGCCGTCGCGTTCGCCGGTTCAACCCCGCGCGCACATCATTTCGCTCGGCTGTCCCGCGAAAGATCCGCGAATTATATCAATATATAGTGCGGTATGGTTTTTTATTTTTTTTTCTCGTCAATAATTCATCAGACGGCCGACGTCGCGAATATAACCGTGTGTTATGAAGTTATTTTTTTTCCCCGCCCCACACACGTTCAACGTAATTTATTATTCAGTTTTAAAATCAGTCGATCATGTCGGTCGTTGAAAACGATTTTCGGAGTTTATTTTTTATGGTATCGACGAAGGCTATAAACATAATGTTATCGGTTGTTATTACCGTGGGGAGTAACTAGACCCAAGTCCGGTACGTCGCATCGCACTGATTTATAACTACGGTTATAATGTAAATTTGACCGTCGTCGTTTCCTAAACGGACGGGTCGAAGGAAAATGATAGATAAAGAAAAAGGATTATGCAAAGGGTAAGTATACTTTATGTGATTTTATCACTTCGTGACGTTCAAAACTGTTGTTCGAATCGGTCGCGAGTGTAAGTTTTTCAATTCGATGGTAGAAGGGATATGGGGTGTTAGAGTGATGCACGAGAAACTTTAAGGAATGATGATGTAATTTCATGACGCTAAAATTTCTCGCGTTATTTTGCCTCCGGAGGAGACAAAATTATCTATCCATCATAATCAAAACCTTGAGCCCCCTCCTTGGTTAAAATATATTTACCACCGTGTTAATCACTATTCTACCAAAAATTTTGCTCAGATTTTCAAGTGTAACGCCTTTTCGGAAATTAAATTTGACTGGAATGCTACTCTAAGAAAGTCATTTTTGATTTTCCAAGTAATTTCCACGGTGATTGGGAAAACTGGGAAAAATATGTAAAAAAAATGAAAAATTTACGAAATGTATTATTTTCAAATCGTAAATATAAGGCCTATCGAAACATGTATAATCAAACTCCGCTCAGAATCATTTTTCGTTAGTAATGATTAATCGTTGTTTATAGATATACAATAAATTTCCACTCTACCTCTCCATCTTTTCATCCACAACAGTGGCACATCCATCGTGCGAAGCGTGTCAGTTTGTTTTTATTGTGTGTATTTTATACGTTATACGGTTTACCTAATTGTTTGTTTTTACACAAATCTTAAAACTGGTTTATAATATGGTTAAATATGGTTTAGAAAAAAATGCAGGTAGCAGGTGCTAGGTACTTATATAGTTAAATAATATTAGGTATTTACAAACGAATTCATTAATACCAAGATGCAGTAAGTAGTTTAAAAAAGTAACTGGTATAATTATTATTTATACATACATCGTATTGTACACTTGGATAATACATTGTATTCCTTCTTAATTTAAGAATATTCATATATGTGTACTGTTATATTATCCGGGGGGAGGGGGAATTTTATATTTTCCACCTCACAAAAATGCCAGGAATTTAAGTGATACAACTTGCCCCTCCCCCCATACACACCACTGCAAATAGTTGTACGTTATATGTTGTATTTTTTTTAACGATGTCGCAAACGGCAAGCACCCGGACTTCTCTACCCGCCATCAGTCCATTTCTTTGTAAGTCTATGGTTTACAAATCACTCGCTTCATAAACCATACGTACACTCTACATATTATTATAATAGGCAGTATAGATTCCGAACTATTCCACTCCAAAATACGTACCTACCCATATCGTCACGACAGCCCTCTTAGATCATCTTCACAGCTCACGTCATCGGGTGGGGGGAGGGGCTGGACGTTGTTGTTTGAGGGTGTTTACGGCCCTGACTATTATGGATGTCATTATATTTTCTTCGAGGGTATAGTTCCGCTGTTGTGCGTAAATATGCGTTAACAATAAATTATTATTATCGTCAGCGAAAATTTCCTTTATCGTATAGGAACCTACTCATATCGTGCTACAGATTACGGACTTTAATGCTGAGTTGCACAAAATTACAAACTATTCAATTTCTAGAGATCGGTTTTTAACAGCCGTAGTACGAGTAATACGGTGCTGGGCTTTTAAAATACCTATATTGATTACCAATTCATTATGGCGGTTGAGAGCAATTTGTTTTTGCA